GTGAATAAGTTTTATATACAAGATTAGCATTTTAATCCTTCATTCTTCCAAAAAGTATACCTAGCTTTTTCATTATAATAGATTAATATTATTTAGAATGAGATACATATTTATTTTGAATATAATCTTATTTTTATGTAAATAAGGACACCTATATAGGTGTTGTATTTGCTAATGTACATAATAGGAGGAGGGAAAGTGTGCTTATATGTTCACCTCCTTGAATTATTTGTAAAAATAATAAAGGAGGGATATCAATCAAGCAGTAATAAACACTGAAACAAAATGTCTGCTATATGCTATGCAGTTCAGAAGAAATAGTTTAAACTTCAGGGGGGGGGGGAGAAACCCTGGTTGAAAACATTCAATTTACGCAATCAGTGCTGCAAATTTAAAATCCATCCAAGAGTTATTGTTCAATTGTTTAAAACATCTGCCCAGAAGAATGGAAATCCAAGACTACCCAATTCTTTTTATTTGAGATCTGGAATAAATATGCTTTATTCTACCTTCATACAGCTATGAGGAAGCCTAGCACTGAATATGGTCATAAAATGTATCTGGGCATTTCAGTGCACACATTGAAAACCTCACTATGAATTGCTTAGAGCAGGGGTGTCAAACTCAATTTCATCAGGGTTGTTTTTGACCTTGGGGGGCTGGAGTGGGTGTGGCCAGGGAGGGCATGGCCAGCTCAATGTCATTTGTGTCGGGGATATCTGTGGTGGCCCAAGCACTCTGCCAGAGAAAATGGGTTCTGTAGCTCCATTTTCAGCTGTGACAGCCTCCTGCAATCCACTGCCAGTGAAAACAGAGCTTGGGAGAGCCCTCCTTTTTCATTGGCAGAGAAATTGTGGGCCAGTCCTTCGCTGTTTCCAAGGTGGCCCCGCAGGGCCAGATCTAAGCCCCCCACGGGCCAGATCTGGGCCCCAGGCCTTGAGTTTGACACCCATGGCTTAGAGGCACAAAATAAGGCAAGGAACATGCTGTATCAACGAAACTCATTCCTTTTATTTATAGTTCTGCAAATGGCACGTTAAATACTATCTATCTATCTATCTATCTATCATTGTCTTTTGGTAATGAATGATAGCAAGAATAAATTAGTAATTCATTTAGAAATATATAGTCTATAAAAACTGCACAATTCATGCAAAACAAAATGCATTTCCCATTTATTTCATGGAGAAAAAAAGAGCACATGCTAAAATCTGCCCCACATCTTAAAAACAATGAAAAATAAAATAAATTCTTGGAGAGATTTCAATATACATGAAGACATAGCTCATTGATCAGATTCAAAAGATTTATTTCAGTCACAGACTATAACAAATGTAAATAAACACAATTGGAATTAAACAAGAAATATGATAACAAAGCATAAACATAAATTAAATTATTAATCTAAAATATATAAATTATAAATAAAATTATCTGTATCATTTCAGTGCCAGATATCTATAATGATACAGCAATGAAAATACTGAGGTAATGGCAGCAAAAGACACTTTGAATCTTTGTTGCTTGAATACCTTTACACAGATTCATTGTACCACCATCACAATTCATTGTATTTGCAATTAATGACTATAATAGATACTATTATTACCTTGTAATAATATCAGCATATGACCTTTTATGTTTCTTTTATCTTGGATTAGCCTTAAATCTACCGTTGAAGAATAATAGAAGTAGGTGTATACTATTTTAACTTCAATCAGTTAAACAAATAAATAAATCCCCAAGAACATATTAAAATGTCTTATATGAGTAAATAACAAGTGCAATGCATGTTAAAAACAAATTTGTGTGTCAAATCCTCATCAATTATGAATTTTCTTGGAAAATCATATTCTTTGCCTAAGCTTATAAAACTGGGGAGGGCATTAATTTTGACCAGTTTCATGACTGCACTAGTAAGGATTATTGAGATTTTTTAATCCTATCTTATGAGTTTCAAGGTGGTGAACATATCTAATACTCCTTCCTCTTCCTCATTTTCTCCATAACAACATCCCTGCGAGGTGAGGCGAGTCACCCAGCCAGATTTCATGCCTAAGGCTAAACCAGTTTCTAGCCTGATGTTTTAATCACTAGACCAAAGTAGCTCTCTTTGAATGAAACTTTGAACGAAATGTATTATAATACCTTCATTTCAATGCTACAACAGTACTGAGAATAATTCTTATTGCTAGTGTAATCTGACATATTTTGTGTGAATATTATACAAACTGATTTCAGTTGTATGGATCATGCTTATATCAATTCTCTTATTCAACAAGATGACAACTTCAATGGATGGCACACAACAGACTCTTTAAGGAAGTCAAACTAAGGATATTAATGTTTGTAAATTATTAGATTTTATTTAATGATTTATCCCTGTTAATGGATGAAAGTGCAACCACTAGTCCTAAGACTGGTACAAATGTGGAAGGGCCCTTAGAGTTTTATCCAAAGCTAGCTATGTTTTAACTTTGTAAAGTTAGTGTTAGTAGATATGATTTTTACCAAAGCAACACAAAATTGAAGGACAACCAATTCTTGTTTTATTCAAGCCCTTTATTGATGAAATATATTTCATCTTTTGTCCAAAGTTCTAGAAAAGTTGTAATTGTATAGAATACTACATACTCTGATAATAGCTGCCTAGCCTTAGATTGGTCTGAGATTGCAACTCATTCCAATTTCTGGAACTTAATTTAGAAAAATGCCACTTCATCCTTGCTGGGAAGATTCTTGCTGTATAATTTTAAAAACCTATCCTCCCTCTGAGCTGTTTCTTTACATTATTCTTCAAGAGAAATTATTGGAGCCCAGTTGCTATATACAGTCAAAACCATTTTTATCCCTCCTATCCATTTTTTTAAAATTAGGAAAAGAGTGTTTTAAATTTTCAGCAAGAGTGTTGCACAATCTCTCATAACATCTTGTACTGAAATATTTCCTTGCTATTTGGCCACAAGAACCTATATGCTTGAATCACATACACAACATTTTCAAAGTAACCAGTAATTGTTTCTGGATGCAATTTGACTGGTCTTTTGAAAAGTTTGCTGACTGATCTCCTGCAATACCCAGTATCAATTCTATTATCACAATCTTACCAAGCCATCGCAAAGGGTTGGTCTGAGTTACAGACCAATAATGAGTAGATCCAATTGCCTTCCCCCCCACTTATCCTTCCCACCAAGGAATTTTGATAGGCACATACCAAAATCTTCTTCAAGTTATCCCTTTTCAGTGTAGCACCAGAAAAACCAGTTATGCATAACTTTGTAAAAGTTTTTGAATTGGGGCTGGGCAAAGTGTCATTTGTTTAGCCACTGGACAGTACAAATCTGTTCTGAATTCAGGCTTTGTCTTAAGGCAGAACACAGGCCTACAAATACCCAAAGCCTCTCAAAGAATTGCAAAATGCCTGATTTGTGCTAGAATATGTCTAAGTTTTTTTTTTCTTTTACGGGGGGGGGGGGGGGTGTTTCACAAACAAAACCTAGGTAACGTTTTTGGGATGGCATACCCTTGCTTTGTTCCTAGGGCAGAGGGAGTTATTGGCTCAAAATCACCCAGATGGTTTCACACATAAGGCAGGACTAGAACTCCAGCCTGATGATTTAACCCAGGGGTCTCTAACCTTGGCAACTTTTAAGACTTCCAGCTTTGCTGGATGAGGAATTCTGGGAGTTGAAGTCCACAAGTCTTAAATTTGCCAAGGTTGGAGACCCCTGATTTAACCCACACATCAAACCAACTCTCCTAAAGTATCTGTGGTACCTATTGTATCTTCATTTTGTAAATTTCATTTAAGAAAATACAAGCATCTTTTTCCTTAAAAAGGAGCAACTATAACCATCAATTTTTATATAAAATGGCATAGCATACAGCAATTTTCAGTAAAAACCAAGGCAAGAACAGCCTGGATGGACTAGAATGGGGTTTAATTTAAATCAGTATTTCAAATTGCAAGCCCGTGGTACTTGGAAATTCATAAACAGCATGTGAATAAAATAGTTTCTCCACTTTTCTAATCAGCTGCTATATCTTTGAGATGGAATCAATTAATATTCAATGAGAATCCTAAATAGTACTATCATGAAAGAGGGGGAAAATATAAAAGAGCATATTCTATTCGTCACTGGGTGAGCAGAGTTATGATAACATTATGCCATAAATTTAATGATCTCATTCCAGTTTTTCTCATTTGCAGAAATAATAAATACTAAAATGAGCACTTTTCATTATAGAATAATCAAACATAAATATTGGAAGAACATCTACTCCAACTCTTTGCACAGTGAAGAAACCCATTTCCAACTGACAATAATACAACCTGGGTTTAAGGATCTCTAAGAAAAGAAAATTCCAACATCTCCCAAAAATAACCCCCACTGATATTATTATTATTTTTTGTAATTTAAAGCCATTGTTTCTTGGTTCTCTTGGAATAACTCTGAACAATTATACCCAATCTTCAACATAACAAGAAACTTCCAGAAACTTGAAGATGGCTATTAGGTTTCTCCAGTTTTTTTGTTTCCAAGTTGAATATACATAGCATCTTGAACTGTTCATCGTAAGCTTTTCTTTAATCACTGTTTTGGACCCATTCCAATATGTATACCCAGCTCTTTTCTATGAGCATTTCTAAAAATAAGAAAATATATTGAGGGAACAGTTACGCTTCCATCATGACTCTTGTCAGCTCATAGGCTGTACCTATGTCCATCCTGTTTTCTGGGTTATCATTTTAGGTATTGGTTACTGCAGGACATTGGACTTCAAGCTACCCCATTTCATTTATTTTGTTCTTAATTTCCAAGAAGTTGGGAGGACAAACCATCTTCCTTCTGAGAATGAAATAACATCCATTCCAGCCCTTTTTTCTCTAAATCATTTTCTTAATTGTTATTGTTGGATCAAGACATACTTTTTGGTATTTACTTTTCCATCCCACCCAATACCAAGAGAGACAATAGATATTTGAAAGAGCTGCTTACCACCAGAATGGCATTAAAGTGGTCACTCTTCACCTTCTGTACTTGAATGCAGGATGCTGGCACTTGCAATAATCCCGCCCCCTTGGAAAGGCTCCCGGCATCTCTGTTGGACATCAAGTTGTTATTGCTAGTCCCTACACCTAGGGCTGCCCTATATAAATAGGTGTGCGTAAGTTTCCCCATCCCTGCAATCTCAACCATCTCTGGGGTAAAATTAGAGCTTGGGAGCATGCGCACATTGTACCGGTACTTTTCATACTCATCCGTGGGGCAACAACAATTGCAAGAGGGGTTAGTCCTACAGTGGAAAAGTCGAACAGCAAAAAGGAAAATGATAAATCCAAAAAAGACAAGGGAAAGGCAGCCCAGAGCAATGATCAAGTAGAAGTTCAAGCTAGACAGCTGCTGCCCATGTGTTTCCAGGCTGTCATCAAAGTCTGGGAGTGCTTGTGGGAGAGTGTCAGCTAGTAGGATGCCCAAAGTTACAGTAGAGGAGAGGGAAGGATCCCCATTGTCTGTCACCAAGATCACCACTTTGTGCTTGATGGGGTCACTAGATCTCATTGAACGACTAGTTCTAAGTTCCCCAGAATTTGGTAAAACCTGAAATAGGCTTGTGTCAGAAGAGTGCAGAAGGTGGTAAGAAAGCCAAGCATTCTGCCCACTGTCTGGGTCATGGGCCACCACCTTGGTCACTAAATAGTTGGCATTTGCCAAGCGTGGCACAATTTCAATCGCCACTGAAGCATTTCTCACATCTGGATACAAGATGACTGGGGCATTGTCATTTTGGTCTATGATGGTAACACTGACAATAAAAGTAGCAGTCAGAATTGGGAAACCATTGTCCTTTGCCTCTACTTGGAAATGAAAAGTTTGGAGTTGCTCAAAGTCAAAAGTGTCTTTTGCATAGATGATTCCATTGTCTGCATCAATGGCTAAATATCTGGACAAGGAGCTGCCCTGGATATCAAGGTCCCTGAGAAAGTAAGATACCCGACCATTCTCCTGGAGATCTGGATCAGAAGCGGACATCTGGAAAACAGATGCCCCAGGCTTATTGTTCTCTGCTATGTAAATTTCACGCATCTGGTTGAGGAATTTGGGAGGATTGTCATTCACATCAGCAATCTGTACCCAAAGTGTTTTCTGAGTGGCAATGGGAGGGGAACCCAGATCAGAGGCAGTGACTGTAATGTTGTATTCACTGACCCGTTCTCGATCAAGATGACCACTTGTGATCAGGCTGTAGTAATTATCAAAAGAGGACTTGAGTTGGAAGGGGATGTCAACAGGAATCTTACAAATGATTTTCCCATTCTCACCAGGATCTTCATCAGTAATACTCAAAAGAGCCACCACAGTGCCCAGCAAAGAATCCTCTGGGATGGGGCTGGACAGCGAAGTGAGTGTAATCTCTGGAGCATTGTTGTTCACATCAGTAATTTCCACCAACAGTTTAGCTACACTAGACATGCCAAAGACTCCTTTATCCCTTGCCTCAATGAACATCTCTAGCAGGGGCTTTTGGACATTTAAAGCACCGCTGACTTTTATCTCACCGCTTTGGGGGTTGATGCTGAACATCTTCTGTAGCTCAGGGGATGTGCTGTTGCTAAACGAGTAGAAGACCTCTCCATTCTGACCATAATCTAAGTCTGTGGCTTGCACCCTAGTGACCAGAGTGCCTCTAGGAGAGTTTTCCAACACGCTGGCCCTGTAGACAGAATGCTCAAAAGTAGGGGCATTATCATTTGTGTCCAGGACAGTTACCACAACCTGGGCGTCTCCAGACCTCTGGGGGTTCCCTCCGTCTTTAGCTGTGATAGTAAGCCTGTGTGTGGCCTGCTGCTCCCTATCCAAGGGCTTTTCTAATACCAGTTCAGGATACCGGCTCCCATCCCCGCGAGTCTGCATTTCCAGTCTGAAATGCTGGTTGGGGCTTAGACTGTAGCTCTGGACGCTGTTGATGCCTTCATCGAGATCTTGGGCGACGGGGAGAGTAAACCGAACTCCTGGAGCCAGGAACTCGGCGACATTCACATGATATTCCTCTAGCAGAAAAGTAGGAGTGTGATCGTTCACGTCCAATATTTTAAACTGCAGTTTATAAAGTTCCAGGGGGGTTTCTAACACGAGTTCGTAATTCAGAGAGCAGGTAGGTTCTTGTGCACAGACCTCTTCCCTGTCGACGGGCTCGTTAACAGACAAAGCTCCGGTGCTCGCATTGAGGTTGAAATACTGCTTACTAGAACTGGTGATCATGCGGAATCTGCGGAAGGGCAGCCTAGCCGCATCGATGCCCAAATCCTGTGCTAGATTCCCGACAGGCGCGCCGCGCTCAGTTTCTTCGGCGATGGAGTACTCTACTTGTCCACGCACGGTGTAGAAAATAAGGCAGCACACTACTAAATAGACCCGCATTCTTTTTCCCTGGCTTCCTTCCCGCTCACTTCCCAGCAGATCGAGTCAGTCGTAACATAATCCCCCGTTTTCAACAAAGAGCTGAAGTAAGCGATGCCGCAGCCGACGGGAGAAAAGGCCAAGCCATGAAGCCCGCTTGCTTAAATGCAGCACGGGGAAAGCACGGGCTCTTCCAGGCGCCGGCCGAAGACATGGCTCGCCTTTGGCCAGTGCTGAGCCAGCACGAACTAGCCCTCCGCCGAGGCAGCCGCCGCTGATGCCGCCGGCTCGAGATGAGATCATGTGCAAAGAGAAAAGCCCTCCTGTACCGGGCACGGCACCACCCTGGGCCACAGCGCCGCTTAGAGGCCACTTCCACAACGGCGAGATCCTTAGCCCTTCCTACTGCATCACGAGGTCTCCGGCTCCACAGCGGAGCGAGGCGAGCGGAATCGCCGAATCTGCAAAATCATGGGCTGTGGGAGAGCGCGTCATCCTCTTCTTCTCCGTAATTGACCGAAAATGGAGCCGTTTCAGAAAAGGAAAACATTTCTCCGACCGTGGGTCCTGGTTTTTTCCTCAGCTGGAAAAAAACAGCCAAACAAGTCGAAGCGGAGTGTAAAAGGGACGCTTATCTCGAAAGGGCAGTGGCTCGAAAGAGATCCAAGATCAGCAAGTGCCCTCTGAGGGGGCTTCGTTTAGAAAAGCTGCCTGAAGAAATAATGGGATTTTTTTTTTAAATAAAGAGTCTCTGTTTCCTCCACTGTCTTGCGGCATATAATTGACCCCGAAGTAATTACATGTTAAGCCTGAAAGCCAAAAAAAAGACCATAGGAAATAATAGCTGGGAAAGATAGTCCGCTCATCGTAACTATGTCAAAAATGAACTGATAAAATATAAACATTATTCTGAAATGGGTTGAAATTATCCACAGAAATAAAATTAGTTGAATTGGATTGCTACTTTTGCTGTATTGTTTAGAAAAACAGATTATATTACGTTACAAACGGGTCCGTCCTTTAAGCCACTGAATTCATCCCAAGCATCCAAATTGAAGTGTCCCTGACAGATGACTGTCCAGACTCCAGTATTTCCAGACACTGGAGGTTTTCCAAAAATGGACTGAACAACCATTTGACTGGGATGGCATAAGCCTTCTACTTTGAACAGGCAGTTGGACAGAAAATCTCTGCAGTCCCTTCCAGCCCAATGATTCTGTGATTCTGAGTCCACATTCATAAGCACATGCAACCAATGTTCAATCACAACCTATAATTCTATAACTTAAAACACATTATTCTATATCCTACCAAATAGAATGAAACAGAACAAGTCTTGGGCTCTTTTTCCACTTCCACCTAACACAGCATAATCATGCTCCTGCATAGTGTTATTTCCCCCCCTGCTGACATGAAACTCCCCTATTTGCTCTTCCAGATGAATTTACAAAGCAAAAAAAAAAAAACCCTAGGCACGGAACCAGAGCAACTCATCAGTGCAACCATTCATCAAAACTTCAGCTCCACCCCATGTTAAGGAGAGTGAGATGGGGAATATTTTCCATCTGACTGGTGAGTTTAATATGAGGAAAGTGAAGCAAACGCAAAGAAATTCACCAAACTCTGTCCTTAATATGCCCTGCACAGAGCAAAGAAGAACAATATCTTTTGTTGGTTTATGCTGTGAAAAGGTTGCCAGTGGAATAATGAATATTATGCCAATGTAATTTTCTGTCAGCTCAAAGTTAGCACTTTTCAACCAATCCATGAGAAGAATCCTCCTGGTGACATTTTCACTTGTACTTGAAGACCACCATTCTGTGTACTCTGAAAAAGGTCATTGAATTGAAGGTTCATCTCAAAGTTAAACATTCAGTTTCCTAAGTATTCTCATAGCAACTGGTTACAAAATTGCTGACACAATATCATCTTACTTTCATAGTTTGCAAGAGGTTTTAAATACAGGAGAAATGGATATTTGTGACAGATATCTTCCTTTTTTAACTACCACTGAGGGATTTTTTTGTTTTTACAAAGCAAACAAATGCATATAATGTATCAGAAATGAGAACTGGAAGGGCAGGTGCTAATCTTTTTTTTTTTACTTCTCTTTATTTCTGCTGCTTCAAAATTAATAGATTGGGGTGGAGCACTAACTAAATGATATCCTTTGCATTTTCCTGTTGTTAGCTCAATAGAACAGGGGTCTCCAACCTTGGCAACTTTAAGCTTGGAGGACTTCAACCTCCCAAAAGATGGCTGGGGAATTCTGGGGGGTTGAAGTCCTCCAAGCTTAAAGTTGCCAAGGTTGGAGACCCCTGCAATAGAACATTGAGGTCATATTTCCAGATCGATAGGAATGAAGATGATTGTAGTTCAGTTTTAATTTGATTTTGAGGAATTGAGACTATAAATAATACTGTGTGAAGGCCAGTTTACTAATTATCTTCATTACCTTTTTTGCATTCAGTTTATCTTAATCCCGCTCAATATGAAATCCTTAGAAGTGGCCACAGTATTTGAGATGATCTAATTAATGAAAAATAGTGTAGAATTATTGCTTCCATAATTTGGAAATCATATTTGTTTTAATGGTGCCTAAGACTATTTTGTCTTCACAGCTACAGTATGTTATGACTCATAGTCAGCTTACAATAAATTACAACTCCAAAGGTTTTCACATATGCAGGTATTCTCCTGTATTTCTGCATTCTCCTAGTTAAGAATTTTTATTTTTCTCTGTAAAATTTCATTTTCTTACTTTATTTCACTTTTTAAAATGTAATCTTCATTAATCAAATGAAGATTTTGTTTCTGTCCTCCACAGAATTACTTATACTATTCAGTTTTGAATTATCGTCTCCTTGATATGCATTAGTTCTACTTCCTTACTCAACTCAAAATATTAGGCCAAGAAATAAACCATCTGGTTCCATATTTGATACTGCAGTCAAATTCAGTTAAAATCCATTGATAAACAACCTGTAAGAATGTTTTTTAAACCAGTGAACAGATCTAATTAATAAATATGTCCACATTGAATGTTAGATGCGAGCCCCACAAATGTTAGGATGGCTCTGAGAATAAAAGGATGGGCAAAAAATTGTAATGTAATTCCCCAGCTGGAACAAGGTGTTATATATGGATAATAACAGGGAGATAGCTGCCTGATAGCCCCTTTACACCTATCATTGTGAGGTTACTTTTAACAAGCATGGGAAAAATGCTATTGTGTAGGGGAGATGCACAACAAAAATAATTGCAAACTGTATGTGATAAATTTATTTTTTTAAAAAATCAAACCTCTCCAGGTAATTTGCATACATTGTTTAAGCTAGAGGAAATTAAAAGAACATTCAGTGGTTATATTTTAGATACCTTAGTTATCTTATTTCTCCATTTTGAAAATATATCTCTAATTCAAAATTTATGTTACTGGCATAACAGGTCCCTTTATTTATATGCTATATCAGGGGTCTCCAACCTTGGCAATTTTAAGACTGTGGACTTCAATCTCTCTCTCTCTCATCTCTCTCTCTCTGCCTCTCCTTCTCTCTCTCTCTCCTCTCTCTCTCATATCTATCGTCGTGTGTGTGTGTGTGTGTGTGTGTGTGTGTGTATGTGTGTGTGTGTTCTTGAACCATTTCCAAAAACAGGTGAGGGTTGGTTTGGTTTTTTTGCTGATGTTGCTCTTCCTTCTTCTTTGGGTACCTTTTATCAAGAATCATTTCAGGTTCCCAGATAAATAAGCTCTTTCATCCTCCTGCTGTGGCTTCCTGTTGGCTGAACCCACCACTGGCTGGCCCTAACCTTCACCCTCCTCTCGCACTCACTCCTTGCCTACCCTGAGAAGGGCTATGGCAGCAGATGGAGACTCGCTCCGTATTCCAGAGCAGGAGAGAAGGACCCCTCTACTTGCCTCTTCCGGCACTTTTTGGTGCTGCATGTACCTCGGCCGCTTGGGGAGGCTCTCCACCCGAAGTCACTGGCTGTCCCGGCTGCAGCTGATGCTCCACATCATAATGGGCTCCAGGAAGAGGAGGGGATGCTGTCTCCCCCATTTTGAAGTGTGCTAAATGTCAGTGTGTTGCGCAAAGTGCTGCAAGGGCAGTGAGCAGGCCATAGAGGTGGCAAGAGTTGTGGCGTCAGCCGCAGACAGGCCAGGCCAGTGTCTTGGGGCAGAGAGAAAGTCGCACGTCTCCCCATATTCTTCTCGCTGCCTCCAAGGCCTGATTGCTGCTCTTGCAGTGCCTTGTACAACACATTTAAATTTAGTGTGCTTCACAATGAAGGAGATGGCGTCCACTCCTCTTCCTGGAGCCCATTACGACGTGGAGCATCAGCTGCAGCCGGGCTGGGCCAGCATCTCAGGGCGGAGAAAAAGCCTCTCTGAGTGGTCGAGGTGCATGCAGAACCAAGAAGGGCCAGAAGAAGAGGCAAGTAGACTTCACTCCTGCTCTGGAATGTGGAATGAGTCTCCATCCACCACCATCACCCTTCCCTTCTCAGGTGAGGAGTGAGTGGGAGGGGAGGGCCAGGGCCGGGGCCAGCCAGTGTTGGGATCATCTGACAGGGAGCCACAGGAGAGGGCCCAAAGAGCCGCATGCAGCTCTGGAGCTTCAGGTTGCTGACCCCTGGGCTATCCCCTTGTCCTATAATTTGGCTTATTTATGACTATCCATATCTAATTGTTTTTATTAACTCTTCATTTTTTCTTCATTTGGTGTTTGTATGCAAGATTCTTTGCACTGCTTTGAGATGAGTGAGTTAGCAATTTTTCCTTCCCAAAAATTCCAATAATATTTTTTTTAAAAAAGCTTCCTAAAAATGTTGGAACAAAGGTTGATATTTGCACTAAGGTTCATATAAGAAGGAAATGTTTTTTCTGATATCATTAATGCAATTAATTACACATGAGTATCACAGAACAGAGACAGGCTGTCATTAAACAAGGGCTGCAGAGCTAGATATGGAAGGGATCATTGCAGTCCAAGGGGCTATCACTCCAATCCCACACCTGT